TCTTTCATTGTGAGTTGAAACAATCTTGAGATCAAGATTGATTGAGTGAAATTCTCCATAGGTTATGGTTGAATTTCCAACATCTGGTATCTAGAGCTCCAGTTATGATTCAAGGAAGGAAAATTGTGATGGCGGTGAATCATCCAAACGGTCACTTTTCGGCAAACCTTCCAATTCTCAAGAAATATAAGAAAACGCGACAGATCAAGAAAAGGCTGCATTCAAAGAATTAAAGAAGAAAGATTATAAAGCTCTCTTTATAATCCATCAATGTGTAGATCCAGATAATTTTAAAAAAGTTAGTGATGTAGAATCAGCGAAGCAAGCTTGGGAGATTCTTGAAAAGTCATTTGGAGGCGCAGAAAAGGTGAATGAGGTAAGGTTACAAACTCACAAGAGAACCTATGAATTACTTCAGATGGAAGAAAGTGAAAGTATAACAGATTTCTTCACTAGAGTTACAAAGCTGGTGAATCAAATCAAGGTATGTGGAGAAGTGTTGACATCAAGATCAGTTGTTGCAAAAATCTTGAATTCGTTGGCTCCAAAGTTCGACCACGTGGTAGTAGCCATAAAAGAGTCGAAAGACTTGTCAACATTGACGAAGGAAGAGCTTAAAGGGACGCTTGAGTCTCATGAACAAAGGATGGCTGAGAGAGCTGCAGGAAAGTTGAAGAGTGATATGGCTTTGCAAGTGCAGTCAGAAAAGGAAAGGCAAAGGAAGCTAGAATGGCAACAAAGGTAGAAGAGGCTACAACACTTCGGTTGGTCGAAATCAGCAGGAAGGAAACTGATCGAGTCAAAGAAAACCCTGTAACCAAGGCAACCAAAGAGGTGGTGTTGCAGGTAGAGGAAGAGGTGGTGGACGAAAGCCTGACAAAAGTCACATTCAGTGTTTCAATTGTCAGAAGTATGGTCACTATTTTAGTGAATGTCGAGAAAAGAAGAAGAATCAAGAAACTGATGCAAAGATGGCGAAGCATGAAGAAGAAAAGATGTTGCTAATGGCCACAACAAGAGACAAAGAGGGATTCCAGGACCAGTGGTACTTGGACTCAAGATGCTCATCACACATGACTGGAATGAAAGAATGGTTTATCAACATGAAGCCCTCGTCGAAGAACATGATGAAATTTGCAAATGACAATACTCTAGCAGCTGAAGGTATTGACGATGTTTTGATTATGAGGAAAGATGGCAAGAGGTCAACAATTTCCAATGTGTTGTACATACCAGGCATGAATAGTAATTTGCTCAGTATAGGACAGCTAGTCGAAAAGAACTACAAGGTGTCGATCGAAGACAAGATGATGAGAGTTTTCGACACAGGTGGTAAGTTAATCTTGAAGGATCCAATGTCTCAGAATATGACCTTCAGGATTGAACTCAATATGATGGAACATAAGCGCCTAGCAACTGCAACCAGCGCAGATGAATGGTTATGGCATTTTCGACTAGGCCATCTCAATTTCAATGACATCAGAGAGCTAAAGCGGAGAAATATGGCTTCAAGATTACCTAAAATCGACATTCCAAGTGAAGTTTGTGAAGAGTGTGTTCAGTCGAAACAACACAAGAATAGCTTCAGCAAGGATGTAGAAAGGAAGTCGGAGGCAATTCTGGAAGTCATATACTCTGATGTATGCGGTCCACTCCAGGTGGATTTGATTGCAGGAAACATATATTTTGTCAAGTTCATAGATAATTATAGTCGAAAGCTATGGACTTACCTCATCAATAAGAAAAGTGATGTGATCGAGGTATTTGTCAGATTCAAATCTATGGTCGAAAGACAGAATGGTCAAAAGCTGAAAATTCTGAGGACTGATGGTGGTGGAGAGTGTGTGTAGAAAGAGTTTGAGGCATTATGTGAAAAAGAATGGATTATGCATGAGGTGGTGCCACCCTACATTCCACAACAAAATGGAATTGCAGAAAGAAAGAACAGAACCATCATGAACATGATGAGAAGTATGTTGAATGGAAAGCATTTACCCAAAGAATTATAGGGAGAAACGGTTTCGACAGTAACATAAAAATTAAACAGATGTCCAACAAAGAAGCTTGAAGGAATCACACCAGAAGAATGTTGGTCTGGTGTCAAGCCTACTCTCAGTCACTTGAAGGTGTTTGGATCTATAACACATAGAAAAGTGCTAGATCAATTGAGAAGGAAGCTTGATGATAAGTCAAATCAGATGATCTTGATAAGATATCATTTGAATGGAGGTTATAAGTTGTTCAACCCAGTGGATAAGTAGGTAGTGATCAGCAGGGACATGGTCATAAATGAGCTTAAAGAATGGGATTGGACTGAGAATGTCAAGAAGGATTCAGTGAGAATATCTTGTGAAGAACCAGCCATTTAAGTTGAAAGTGAAGTTCGACAGGAACAAGTCAGAGATGAAGCTCGCCCAAGCAGACCTCGATGAACAAGACACTTGCCTGCAAGGTTGCAAGAATGTGTGATTACATCAGATAATATAGTCGATAAAGAAGGTGAGCTGGTATACTATGCTTTCTAGGCAGATGTTGAACCAGTCAATGCAGCTAAGGCATTGAAAGATTAAAAGTGGGTGAAAGCAATGAATGAAGAGTTAGACTCCATCGAAGTCAACAACACCTGGTCACTTGTCAATTTGCCTCAAGGCAAGAAGACAATTGATGTGAAGTGGGTTTACAAGGTGAATGTGAATCTTAAAGGAGAAGTAACTCGACACAAGGCTAGACTTGTGGTGAACGGATTTCTTCATAAGGAAGGAATCGACTTCGACGAAGTTTTTGCACCTGTTGTTAGGATCGAAAAAATAAGATTGGTTGTTGGTCGAGCAAATATGAACAATTGGCACATATGTCAGATGGACGTGAAATGATCATTCCTTAATGGCCCCTTAGACGAAGAAGTTTATGTTGCACAACCAGTTGGGTTTGTAAAATGAGGCGAAGAAAGAAAGGTGTACAGACTGCATAAAGCTCTGTATAGACTTAAGCAAACTCCAAGAGCTTGGAATAAGAGTCATGGAGCAATTACCATGAAGATCGACAGCATGTCAGCTATCAACTTGGCGAAGAATCCAATAGCACACGGTCAAAGCAAGCACATTGAAATGAGGTCCCATTATCTTCGAGAGTAGGTAGCAGAAGGGAAGATGAACTTGGAACACTGCAGAACTGAGAATCAGATTGCAGACATCATGAAGAAGGGAGTGTCAGTCGAAGTGTTCAAGAAGTTAAGGTCTATGATGAATGTAGATAGTTTAGATACAATGAATTAGGTGGTGCGTTAAATATGCAATTCATTGTTTTAGAAAGATTAAATTTGATTTAGAAATATCAAATTTGATTTAGAGAGATTAAATTTGATTTAGAAAGATTAGATTTGATTTAGAAAGATTATATTAGCTATTTCTGGGCTTTTATAGTTTGGACTTTGACTTGGGGTGCAAGCTAACCTAAATCTATAAATATGGAGAAACCTTATTTTGTAAATATCCCATATCATCATATTTTGTAATTTACAGTTTGCAGTTGCAAGTGAAATAACATAATTTCCACAGTTTGTGGGCAGAGAGTTCTCTGCAGAAAATTATTCATCTTCTTCTTCTCCAACGTTTACTTTCTTACTTTCTTTCTAAACTTTTCTTTCATTGTCATTACGTGAGTTGAAACAATCTTGAGATCAAGATTGATTGAGTGAAATTCTCCATAGGTTGTGATTGAATTTCCAACCGAAGATATGACAATGATTGAGTGAGTTTCGTTGATGTTTGTTTTTCCTTCATTTCAAGTTACGTTGGTACTTCAATGCTATTTTGGCGTTCGAAGGGAGAAAACATGCATGTGTTGAAAGAGTTTATGTTCGAACACTTAAATGTGTTGGAAGAGATGAGTTTCAAAAATGACCATGAAATATGGGCTTAGATGTTAGGGCGTTTAGACGGAGAAGATTTAGATGAAAATAGCTCGGTGTATATTTTCTTAAAATATCATTCAGTTTTACAGAAGAATGAAAATGAAATGAGTGCTAAAAAGTAAATGAATAGTTAGAATTTAGTTTTGAAAAATACATGTAAAAGAGATTTCCTTTCGTTTGATCAATTCAAATGAGGGAATAGATAAATTTAAAATTAAAAAAAAAACATATTGTAAAATAGATAGCTGTTATTTTCTCTCGTTGGAAGTCTCAATCGAAAAATAGATAAATTCTAAGTCACATTTTCTTTGGATTGGAGTCCTAATCATGAGAATACATAAATTATAAATAAAAAAATAAGAAAGACATCAGCTTTATATATATATATATATATATATATATATATATATATATATATATATATATATATATATATATATATATATATATATATATATATATATATATATATATATATATATATATATATATATATATATATATATATATATATATATATATATATATATATATATATATATATATATATATATATATATATATATATATAAAATTAATGTGTATTTTGAGGCTTGATCCCTTATCACATTTTCTCTCATTTTCTCTCGGTTGCATGTCTCAACCGTTACATGATATTTATTTATTTTTTTAAAATTGGAATCGTTGCTCACCCAAGATTTATACTTTAAATTTAGGCTGATTGAGTGAAAGTGTTTTCATAAAATATATTTTTAGGAGTGAATATATTTTTTTTACGCATTTCTTAAATAGCAAGTTACCAATAATCAATCTTAACCATTGTTTTCTTTATTTATTATTAAGTCAACAACGGCTATTTAATATATATATATATATATATATATATATATATATATATATATATATATATATATATATATATATATATATATATATATATATATATATATATATATATATATATATATATATATATATATATATATATATATATATATATATATATATATATATATATATATATATATATATATATATATATATATATATATATTAGTGTTATTAGTGTTATTGAAGCTAGGTAGCCATGGCAGAATCAGACGATGAGTCAGGTGGTCTTGCATCAGGGAGCAAAGAACTACTACAAGAAAGACTCCTTCCCATAGCAAACGTTGGAAGGATCATGAAGAAAGCGTTACCATCGAAAGCAAAGATATCAAAGGAAGCAAAAGAAACTATGCAAGAGTGTGTATCAGAGTTCATAAGTTTCATAACAGGCGAAGCATCTGAAAAGTGTCAGAAAGAGAAGAGGAAAACAATAAACGGTGATGATCTTGTTTGGGCCATGACTGCACTTGGTTTTGAAGAATATGCAGAACCTCTTAAGGTTTATCTTAATAAGTATAGGGAAATTGAAGGAGACAAGAATTTTTCTATGAATATGATTGCTGGCAAAGAGCTGCAGAGTGGTAATACTGATCATCGATTCTTCCAAGGCTGATGATATGATAAAATTTGCAACACTATTTCAGGTTTTTTTTTTTTTAATGTTTGATTGAGGTTTATAGAACTATACACCAGTTTCTTATTGTTGTTTGTATTTTTGTTGTTGAGATTGAAATATACACATTATTCATAGTGGTTGTGATTATATCTCAGAAAATATAAATTATAGTGATGATTTGTATTTTTGTTGTTGAGCAGGAAATAAGTTTAGTAAAAGTTTTGTTTGGATTCATTGTAATTTCATTGAAGTTTTAGATTGTATTTTGTCAAAACTATAGTGATTTACATTGTAATTTCATTGAAGTTTTAAAGTGGAATTTTTGTCAAAGCTATAGTGATTTAGAGTGACTATCGAACTCCATAAATTCAACATAAAATTTGACTTGAAAGACCCTAAAAATTTGAGTGGCTAAATTTCCCTAATTGGTAACTGCTCCACAAAAGAGTCACAATAATTGAGTGGCTACATTTCCTAGTATAATATGTAAATGGATAAGATATAGCATTATAACTAATGCATATCTTTTCATTACAGTTGACTTCAAAGAAATGGTTTATGTTACCCCCCTAGTGGATGCTGTCAGTGTAATGCATTTCCTATAGGTCAAGAACAATAATCCAATAATACATGCACAAAACACATTAACATGATTTATATTTAAATATTTTTATTTCAAAAGTGTTGTTGAAAAAATTAAACTCTTTTGTTCAAATAATGTTGTTCAAAAGTACTTTGGAATGTGTAACTAATTGAGGGTACAATATAATATTTCAAGTAATAATGTACAATAATTTGAAATAAAGATCTTGCTTAAATGAAGGGATGAATATAATGATAGTGTAGGATAAAACAAACATTGTGGGACAAAGTTACAGGTGTACGTAAGAGACAGGACAATAGTTTAGTACATGCTACCAACTGTTTTTATTGACTCCACCTATGTTTCATATTCTTGTTCTTATATGTGACATGACATTGATGTTGTTGTTATAGTTACAATTCAATTAGTTTTTTTAATTTCTAACATGAATAGTTACAAAGAAGAAGAAAAAAAAAGAGCTTTTGAGATTGTTCAGATCAGACAATGAATACAATAATGTTAAGTCACTGAGTTTGTAAACTTTGGCTGATACTTTATAAAGAATTAGACCTCTTCAAGCCCCCAACATTCAAGTAAAGATAGCTATTTTTCTGGTTAGAGAAGTTTGATTTTGTAGATACAGGAGTAAATCCAGAATAATGTCCATCAATCTTTGCTAAGTATATGTCGTTAATCTGCCTCAAAAGCTCATACTTTTCCATAAATGGTTGAGCTGCATATTCTTCAAATGGCATCCACTGCACCACAGAATAACTAATATCAACTCTATATCTATATACTTACATGATGAACAGCCTCGGCGAAAGTGTATGTACGTACCTTTCCAGCTTCTATCTCTACTTCTTGGATTTTGATGTCGGAAGAAAGAGGGCGCAACAAGCATACAAAGAATAGATCTGACTTATCGAAGAATGACGCGTGACTTTGTCTGTTAATTGGATGAAAGAAGAAAGGAATGTGAATGTTTGTTGTCAAAATTGTAGACTCGCGAGAAAAATTAAATAAAAATGAAATGAAATATACTTATACGTAAACATGATACCTGAAAGCTAATACTTCTATGAATTCTGAGTCTACCTGTGAAAATTGAAAGAACTTGAAACTATTAGGCTTAGAAGTTAGAACAAGAATAGTTATTTTTTGGTTGATCAAATAGCCAATTTCATATCTAGTCCACATTCAATATGTAAGGTGCTGCAAAGAGATTACTTACTCCCGCTTCTTCTTTGACCTCTCTAACTGCTGCTTCCCAAATTTCTTCGCCCTGCGGCAGAATGAGGAGCCTATATAAATTACTGAAAACAGCTTCTTAAATTGACTAGCAAAAGATAATCAACACATTTACCTGATCAGCAACTCCAGTAGGGAATTTCCAGGATCCAGTTCCCCGAAAATGTCCAGTTTTTTCTTGAACCACTAGAACCTAACATCATTCAATAACTAGGATATGAGACAACGGTACAGGCGATTCTGAATCCTGAAGAATTATGTTTGGTGAGACAGATTATTCATTATCACGGAAAATACTGAAAACAGATCACACAGATAAACAGATGCAAAGTGTTTCTTCCTTTTTACTTTTTGAAAGATCGAAATATAGTGCGCATAAGAATTAAGTATCAAATATGCAAATTCTATTCCCATGATAAAGGAATGGTTTATATAACAATATTGGTGACAGCCTTCTAACCCTATGAGAGTAGCTGTGCTTCCAAAATGCGCAGAAGCCTGATAAAGTAGCTGCTCTGCGTTATGATTATTAATTAGTAAATACCTCTCGTTTTTCATTCACCACAAGCGCTCCAACACCAACTCGGTGTGTGGCATTCGCCGGAATTGTGCTTGCACTGTCTGCAATCCAATGTACAAGCATCAAATATTTTGGTTCTGCATGGTGATACCAAAAACCTTCCTGCATACAATTGTAACACAGAAGTAATAATGATTAAAATAAAAAGTTAGTACTCAAGGACATGATTTAAATTCTTTTTTTCCTCAACTAAAAAATTCTCAAGAATCAATAAGCGTAAGCCATAAATTCACCTTAGTTAAAGTTTCAACAAGGTTGGACAGATGAATAGGTAATTTTATCCAAACGCCCTTCTTGCCCTACAAGACAATGTTGATTCAATAACTCAACTAAACAAAGATAGTGACACTTTCCAGATTTCCAACACAGGTAATGAGGAACAATACAAACATTCTAGCTGACTCAGTGTTGTCCATGGCAGAGAGTCAAAATCCCGCCATATCGGATGCTTTGCGGCGCCGTTATAGCGGAGTATGGCAGAAAAACCAGCAATATCGGCCGATATTTACCATTGCGGCAAGTCCAATAACCACCATGTATATCCGCCGTAGCGCCGCCATTGCGGATATTTGATAACGCTGAGCTGAATAAAGCATCAAAATCATTCATACCGTAAACAATCCATTTTTAAGACCCAAGTTTTGTTGCTATTGAGTTTGTTAGCTTTTAAAAAAAGCATTTAATTTTCTAGATAACTCAAACACAATTAATTGGCTTTTACTTTTCCAGAAACGAATACGAGTCTTGTTTATTCATAGTCGATGTGAATCTTAACCACTCACTTAAACCTAACAATCTCTTCTGCATCATATAACATGATCCATAGAAAGATTCCACTTCCATTGCCTCACCAAGTCTAACCACAAGAGACAAAGACGCCGCATCTTCACCCAAAACCTGCCTTAAACCTAACAATCTCTCCCGCATCATATAACTGGACCTATAGTAGGATCCCGCTCCCACTCCCCCACCAAGCCGGATCACAAGAAATGAACAGAGCGGAATGGAAATGGGCGGAGTAGAGCAGGGTGGAATGAAGACTTCCAAGGCAAATTCTCCCTTCCACCCAAATCAGAGGGGAAGAAATATGATGCTAAGTGATGGAAATCAATGAAATCCATACCACCCCATTCCACTCTGCTCCAACCGATTTTAATTAATCCAAACAATGAAACCTGAATTCATACCATTCCATTCGGCTTCATTCCATCACGTTACATCAATCCACTTATATAGCCAGCATTTAGCTCATTCATAACCATTCAAACTTATCTACAACCCTAAGCAGCTAAAATTTGGATCACAACACAACACATATAACACCTATCTAACAACCTAACCATGCATAAATTTGCAAGGGAAAAAGCATTGCATCCATTAATATGAACAAATCGAAAAGGAAGTAGAACCTGTTGTTTCCAGTTAGAAATAGAAGGTCTGAGAATGGATAAAAAGGTAGTAGAATCCATAACAAGGTCATTGATTTCAACGATAACACCGTCATAATCATCATCCGTTGATGCTAGCAGTTGAATTTGTGGAGGTTCATCTCGTTCTGCAGTAAGAGATGAATCTGTTGACGCTGACATTGATGGAAATTGAAATCAATCACAATCACAACTCTAATATTCATAGAAAACAAAAAGAAAAAAAAAAAGAAAAGTAATAATATAACAGTATTAATTAATTAATAATTCTTACGTTGGAATTTCCGTCTGCTTGGTGGGTGGGAGGGAATGGAAACACGCTTCTATATTCATTAAATAAATAACTAAGACGTGACTAAATAAAGTCCTCATAAAATTAATATATTTTTAGTTTCTAAGAAAAAATAATCCAAATAATTTGTTCCTACTTTCTTTGTTTATTATTTACTAGTTGTTAGAGAAAAGATACGAGAAAAAATTGAAAGGGAATAATGATGGAAAATAAATAAAAATTGGAAGTTATTAATGTTTATTAATTGGATATGAAGAAATTAAAAATATAAGATGAGACAAAAAAATCGAATTTGGATTCTCTCCTAAGATGAATAATTTTTTTTATTCATCTCTCATATTACTAATCTAACGGTTTAAAATTTATAATGAATAATTAAATAAAAAAATTATTTAATAAGAGTGAAAAATGAATAAATAAAAAAAGTTATTTTAATAAAAAAATTTATTTAATTATTTATTATAAATTCTAAACCGTTAGATTAGAAACACGAAAGATAACATATAAAAAAATCATATAGCGGAAAAATTCTTTAGTATCCGATGGATAACCAGTGTTTATCTTTATAAAGTAGTGTAAATGTCTTTAAGTTAAAATAATATAATAAATGAATAAACCTAACAATTTTAATTACAATCAATGAGAAATTACTATTACATATAAAAGAATTAAGAGAATGAAATGAAATAAAAAACGTTTCTTTACAAAGGAAACTATTTTAATTTAATAATTTCAAAATATTATTTTATTAAAAATAAATAACGTACAATTAAAGAAATTTTATTTTTATGTATTTATGTACTATAAGTAAATAATTTTAAATCAATAATATTAATAGATAAAAAATAATTAAAAAAATATTAAATAATTAATTAATTACATTTAAATGGGGACTATTATTTTCTTTTTGATTTTGATTGTTTGTCATCTATTTTCGTATCCTCTATATAGAAAAAATAAATTTAAGAGTCTTAAACTTTTTTACCATAAGCAAATACGTTTAAAATTGTGTAACAAAAATTAATCTTCTAAAATTAGGAAGAAACTAAAGAAATAAACGATGAAAAAATAAAATGATTATAATAGTTTCTATAAAATATTTTTATTTAGTTATAAAATATTTGATTAAAATTATTTTATTTCATTTAAATGTACTATTGGTTCAAAATAATATTTCTATTATTGTAAAAAAATTATTTTTATTAATATAAAATGTTCTGTTATTGTTACAAAACATATTTCCATTTTATAATTTGTATTTTCTAATTGTGATAAAATTTTGTTTTATTTTATTTTTTCGATTATTTTTCTAATTTTTCTTAAAAAAATTTATGTTATTTTATCAATACATATTTTTTTCTCTAACTTTTTACTTTTTATATTCTCTCGTATTAACCACATGAATAAGTGATAAGAGTTTTGTCTTTTTACCGCAAGATGCTTAAAGATGAAGAGTTTCTCTTTCTTTTATAGCTCTTCCATTTATCCTTGACCTCAGAATAAAGCAGGTCCCCTTTTAAGGTTGTACTAGGATAATACATATTCTTTCATCTACCATATAAGTACAAAGTATGTTTTGGAAAAGTCCATTATGCCCTTCTGTTTCCACCGTGCACCACATGGATAGTTTGAAAACCTTCCATTCGTTTTACTTCTCTACATATCATTTTTTCCTTCCCTTTGTTTTTCAAAACTCCCTTTCTTTCTTATGCTTTGAAAATTACTAGTTTATCCCTTTACTTCATTAGCCCTCTGTGTCTCCTTCTTTCAAATACCAGATTGGAGTGCTCAACATCCTTTCAATTTTAACTTTTTGTCATATCACCCTCCACATTTTCATCATTTCATTTTCCTTCCCAATGCTTAATACTTTTTTTTTCACACGTCATCTCTCTTCATTCATACTTCATTTTGAAAACAAACCCTAATGTTCACCCCTTCTACTCCACTACCTATTTCTTCTCCAAACTACTATTTTTCTGTCAAATCGTCTATCTTCTTCGACCACCAAACAACAAAGCTATGACGAGACTGTTTTCACGCATTATGTTACTAAATGAAAAGTTAATATTTATGGTTTTTTTGTATGCAGGTTTTGGGTTTCTAACTTCCTTCGTCGTCAACAACTACAAAGGATTTGTAGGTAAAATAGAAAGGTATGGTTATGTGAGAAAACAAAAGAATCATAAAAATTTAGGTTTTCATTTTGTTGGTGTTGATAATGAAAATGGGATAATTTTTGTTTACTATTTTATGAATAAATATTGGGTTTGAAGATTTTGAGTGATGGTAGATGATTTTGTTATGTGATGGATTTGTTGAGTTTTTATGTTGTTCCTTTTTTTTTCCAGGTTGTACTTCCACCTGTATCTAACGGTTCATTGTGATGCTTTGACGTCGGTAAGTGCTTTTAAAGAGAATAACATGTTTAATCTTATGGATTTCATGGATCTGTTGAGTTACCTTCTGTAATAACTTCATTTCTACTTTTGATTTACCTTTTTGATGTTTAGGGTTTAGTTTATCAATTTTGAATCTTGCATTTAATAGTTTGATTATGGGGAAAGGGATAATTTGTGTTTACTGTTTTATGAATAGATATTGGGTTTGAAGGTTTTGAGTGATGATAGATGATTTTGTTATGTGATGGATTTGTTGAGTTTTTAATGTTGTTCCTTTTATTTTATTTTCTAGGTTGTACATTCACTTATATCTAACGATTCACCGTCGTGCTTCGACGTCAGTAAGTGCTTTTAAAGAGAATAACATGTTTAATCTTATGGGTTTCATGGATCTATTGAGAATAACATGCTTTTAATTTGTGCATGACACTTTGAACATTTTCTTCTTTGATAATATTTATCTTCATCAAAATTGAATTAAATATAAGATGAATTCCTCACAATCTCTCCCTTTTGATTATGACAAACTCTTTGAATTCGTGTTTTAATAATGATTGAAAAGTCTCCCCTAAGTTATGTGTCTCTCCTTAATTGGCAAATCTTACAATGACAGAGTCAAACTTTTGATGTTATTATTTTGGTGCTTGTTTTAATACATACAAGAATTTGTCAAACTTGCACACTTTTGTTCATTACCAAGAAGCACATAACCTTCTGATTACTCCATGTAAATCTTCTCATCGAGATATATATTTAGGAATATTGTTTTGACATCCATTTTATGAACTATAAGGTTATGCAAGGAAGTTAATGCAAACAAAAATCTAGTTTTGTTATGCTTGCTAGTAGTGCATGTGTCAAAATAATCAACAATTTATGGAGAACTTTTCTCACAAGATTCTTAATTTGTGAAAATATTGAATTATTTATCCTCCATGATAAGGTTATCAAAATTCTACATCTAGGATTCAATAATTACATTAGACTCCAAATTCAAAAGTCTATATGCTTTATGCTAGGTGTATATCCTACAAAAATATATTTGATCCAAGATGATCCAATTTGTTTCTTTTAGGACCCATGTTCTTATAATAAGCTACACACCTCACACTCTAAAATAAATGATATTTCGCGCTCTGCCTTTTCATACCTCATTTGGAGAAATATCATTTTTTTTCTTTAAAAGAATTATATTCATTATATGATATAAGAACTTTGTAACACAACAAATTTTATGTATTATTCAACTGTCAATAAAATATTTAATAATAATCATTTTACCTTAAAGTTACACTTTTACTTGAATTATATTTCTTAACTTCATGTTTAACAATGTTCTATGTTATATGCATATAAGAATCACATTATAATATAAACAACGAACCAAAATCACTAATATTTTCTATAATTTCTTTCATAAATATTTGTCAACTTTTAATAATAAAGAATGTACAAATTACTTTTGATATCAAGATTATCAACAAATAACTTTTTCATATTAACATGCACATATAATATAAAATAAATAATTTTAAATTTAATAAATTATTGCACAGACAATAATACAATTAAAACATATCCTTCAAATTATTATTATTTTTCATGTCATTTTATGTTTCCAATACATGAACATAAATTCACATTCATAATTTTTTTTTCATTAGTTAGGCATTGATTCAATTTCACATTTTATGTATTTCATGTATTATTTTAATCCTCTCTTCTAACCGCATTTCGCCCAGCTCAGACAAAGTGTCATCATTTCCGGTTCAAAACTTCCCTCAGCAAACTCATGAAGCAAGGTAGTATCTGAACTCAAAAGGGCACAACATCCTCTGCGAAGAAGAAGAAGAAAGGAGGTGTTAGTACAATCTCAGAATGGATAATTCCTTTTTTTCAACAAAACCAACAACAGATACAGACACGGTCCCACATATGACAAATCAACACGAAAAGAGTAAAGTTTAATACTTCCCAAATCAAAGCCAGAACGTCACCGACAAAATCAGACAAAATAGGAAGGAAACTGAAGTTGTTTCCCAATCCCACCAAGTAATCCCGACAGAGAATCACCCAAGTATGAAACTCGTGAAGACCCTTGAACATTTGAGCCGTTTGCTTAGCAAGCTGAATCAAGCCATTAAACTCCCAACATCGATTACCGTTGATTACCAATTGGTAGACCTACAACAAATCAGACAGATTGAGTCAGAAGAGGCAAGTTTCAATTCATAATAAAACCAGTTTTAACCCTTTCCAAATAAATCTCAACATGTCTCAGACAAGTTCAAACCGAAAAGAAAAAGGAATAACTTTCATTAACATGGTGTCTCTTTCCAATCAACTATAAGAAGAGGAATTTGAGATCGGGAAAAAAAACCACTCAGGGAGAAACGGATGAAATTCACACGAGAAAACAAATAGAAACCAGAAATACCCCCAAAATCCCCAATCATAGAACCCTAACAAAAGCAGAAGAGATTCATTCAAAAAAATGACAATCCCAAATCAAATCGAAAAAAAGAAATTACCTTCTTAAAGCCTCGCCGGAAACTGCCTTTCCGTCCACCGCGAATCTCTACAACCCACGAGCTTCCTTCAAAACTCTCCATCACCATCCAGCCCACACCGTGAATCGTCGCCGTAATCTTTCGTTTTCCCTATTTCTGACCGGTTGAATGTTTTAATTTGTTTTCATGTTTTGTTTCAGCGCATCACAAAGAAAAAAGAAGGAAACAACAAGAAGCGATGGGCGAGAAGAGGGTGAGATCGGGAGAGGAGGGGGCCTGGAAATGGAGGAAACGTGAGAGAGCGAGAATGCTATCGGCGGAAGGGGGGAAACGAAAGGGTCTTAGGGTTTACTGTTTTAATTTTGTATTTGTAATATAATCACACACTAATCACTCACTAATCACACCACACACACACATTAACCTTACCCTTAATCCACCATTACGCTTAATTAATCTCACTTATCTACTAACTAATTAATTAACTGATAATATAGTTCTTAACCCCTTTTATTTTAATTAATTAACTACTTATCTTCTCATCAGTTTTTATTAAACTTTTTTTTTAATTAATTAACTTTAATCAACCTTTTAGAATTAAATTAATAAGTCCTTTTCTAAATAAGATAATATGCCTATTTGTTCTTCCTTCTTAAACCTTTTTTTTATAACTTTTAAATAAATTATAATAAACCTCTTTTTTTATCAAATTTAATTGTTAGCTTTTCATAATAATTAAAAGTCTATTTTATTTAATAAACCTATATAATATAATAAAACTATTTTATAATTAATAATAACAAAACTATTTTATTTTAAAAAAAAAACTCACTTCATAACAAAACTATTTAATCTATTTACCAATAATAACAAACCTTTTAAATTAACATCTATCTTTTATAATAATAACTAAATTATTCGTTTACTTAATAATAGGTATATTCCATTTTAATATAGCTTTCACATAATAAAATCTACCTAATAATAGGAAAACTTTTTTATATAATAAACTAATCGAACCTATTTTATAGTTTAAATAACTTGGCTTTTTTTGTTAATAACAATCTTCATAAAAATTAATTTACCCTTTTAAAATAATTCCTCATTAATCTTCCTAAAATCAAATACAACATCCCCCCCTTAAGATTAATCACACCCTAAATCAACTTAAATCAACATCGTAAAACTCAATTCAATCGTGCACACTCACGTTCACGACACTTTCACTCTCACACACTTCAGCGCTTTCATGCGTATGTGTATGGATTCATATTTTCCGCAATTTATCATTATCGCATTTACATTTTCCGCATTGCATTCCGTCCAAAGGAAGAATCTGCGCATGATCCTAACAATCGTGCGTATGCATTCACATTTGCATCATTCTCCCCACATGATCTTTGATCCCATTCAAGTTGATCTTTAGGATAGATCCTACCCCATAGGAAGGACTGTTCTTTACCTTTTACAACTTAGAACACACAATACAAACAACTCAATTCAATACAATACTCAAACACATTAGAGAAAGATGCCAAATCATCTTAAGCGAGATAGAATTTCCACCCCACAATAATACAATCAACATGTAGGGACTTTGCCTTAAGAGAGATAAAGGCGTACTCGTCAAACAATCCGAGTACTTGAGCCCTTTTCTTAAGACGATGCAAAGACTATTTTCCTACAACTTGTGGCGGTTAAATCTCCCTTAAAATGATAACACATCTCTTCTCCTAAAATCAATCAATCAACTATCCTAAACCCGTAGGAACTTTGACCACAGTCAAAGAACTCCTCAACCCTTTAGGGGAACTACCAATACTATGATTCCACTCCCGTAAGGATATGTAGGCATAAGATGCGATATCTTATCGAGTATACTTAGAAATAAACCCCCTAGGTCTTTCAACCTTTAAGCAAATAAACCTTAGCAAATAAACAAACATAAAATAAGAGGTTCCTGTAGAGTACTACAGAAACTTAGGATGCTAGTACCTTCCCTAAGTTTAACCAACCCCCGAACCTATAACTCTCTAAATCTTGCATTTGCATTGCATTGTGGGAATTTCGATCTTTATCCCTTCCTTTGGACAAATCAAAGTTTGGTTGCAAATTGAATTAAAGATTCAAACTAATTAATAGTTTGGTATCCAAATTTCACCGCGACAAGGTGCTAGACTCATTTTTATCTTATTTGAAACTTGTGTATGACTTTTTTCTGACCTCAAACTGTCCCAATTCATTTTTGATTCCAATGATGCATTATGTTGTGTTAAGTGAGCAATGGACATATGACTTTCAATTCTATGTTGTTTGTAAACAATTTTAAAGTATAGACACACCTTATGTGATGTTTTGAGGATGTATGTGTGATCTATTCATTTCAATTAGGCCTGTTTCTTGATTTATCTCTCATACTTGCAACATGTCTTGAATTTCCTTCCATTTCCATATGGCAGTTGAAGTTTTGACCTATGTGTGAGTTGTTTAAGTGTGTGAGCTTGATGTACATGATATTTGAGATGTGTTGGAACCCTCTTCCTGATTATAGCATGTCTGGTTTGATCATTGATCTTGAAAATGCATTTTCATCCCATTTTTGCAACTGTCGTCGTGTTTTATTTTCTATGCATCCTTTCAAAAAAACCAATTGTATCATCCTGTCCCTTGTTTAAAAACACTCAATTTTGACTAAAATTTCACCTGAATCCATTAAGAATTGAGTAAGTTAGCATCAAAACGCCTTTTGTAAAAATGCCTTGTTCTTGCTTCTAACTTGCCCAGAAATCCTTGAGAACACGCCTTATATGTTTATGGGGGTGGCTATATCAACGAATGTATAGCCACCCAGTGGTAATCAACTTACTCTCTCATGCGCCTTTCACTGCCTAGACCTGGGTTCGATCCCTGAGGAGGATCAACCCTTTTGTTCTTTTTTTTTTATTTTCTTGCACGCGCATGTGTAAGCTGAGGGGCGTGGGTTCAACTCCCACCTCTTGCATTTTATTTTATTTTTACTTGTTGTGTTTTATTTGTACATTTTTACCTGAAACTTCAAAAATTCATATCTTTGTCATTTTTTATCCTTTTGAACCCATTCTTTTTGCAACATTCTTGTCTTAAGGTCTATTTTCATGTGGTGTAAAAATATTACATATTGTTATTAATTGTGATGTCTTTTGTCTGTGTGGAAATTTGTTCATTTGTTGAGATCGTTATCTTACTTGCTGTTGAATTCTCTTTGAATATGCTTGAATTTTCTTGTGAGATTTTTGCATCCCATGTTAGTTAACATGCTAGGGTTTGTCCTCCTTTGGTCGTCACCATAATCCCATGATTATTTTCCTCCTAAATCATGAGGTTAAACTAATTTGTTTGTGTTTGATTGTCATCAATACATATTGTTGTTACACTAGATGCACCTTGAGTCTATGACATGTTTACTTTTAAACTGTGATTTGTTTACATGGTTGTTACCTTCCTCATGTTTCAATCTTTGTTAAGACTATGCTTCCATCTTTGTTAAGATATTTGATTACCGGTTGTAACCATTGGTGTTTGTTTGTAGTATCTGCTTATTGTAATATGCATGCTTACTATTATAATCTTATTCATCTTGCTTATTAGTATTTCTTTCCCAAGTGATGGAACTTTTTAGTTCTCATCCAAGTTGCCTCTCTCTCTCCTTCCAAAGGAAAAGTCTTTCCGTTGACCCTTGGGTCATAAACAACTCATCTCTCCCTCGACTTCGTTAAGTCATTCATACACTTAGTTAAATGGAACTTGTCCTTTAGACTTTTCTTAAGTCTACAAAGCCCACCCTTGTTAGGAGTGCTCTTTCAACTAGAACTTAGGATAGAGTTTGTTAACTCTATGTAAGAATCATCGTCATGATTACTTACCTCCCTTTCTTGAGTGTTCAACTTAGATCTAGAGAGTTTCCTTAAACTCTACACAACATTGTCATGTTTGTTCCCCTTTGAACCTTGATCATAATCAAGTGTTCTTCAACCATTGTGAGGTGAACTATGATTGCTCTGATTCTATCCTAGTTAGGATACGTAGGTAGAAGATGCGATATCTTTGCGAGCAAACTTAGTGTATATATCTTTAGGTTTTAACCTACACCTTTTTTCCCAATCCTTAACAAATCCATAGCAAACATTTACCAACTTAGCATGCAAGCAAACAAAAGGTTCCTGTAGAGTGCTACAGATGCTTAGGATGTGAAATACCTACCCTATGCATAACCAACCCACGATTCCCGAATCTCTTAGCGTTGTTGTTACATCGCGCAAAAGGTTCTTTCTTTCTTTAGACCTTTCCTTTGGATAAATTAAAGTCCGATTGTAATCTAAGAATTAAAGATTCAAGTTAATTAATAGCTTGATATCACGATTCTCACCGCAACACAGGTGACGACGTCAGACGAGATGAAGCGTTACCTAATGGAGCAGGGTCTGCGCCGCAACTCAAAATTCTACGAGGCCGTGGGCATACACCGGCCAGCCTCCCTACAGGGCTTCTTCGACAGAGCCGCGCATTACGTCCGGTTCGAGGAAACCCAAGCAGCCAACTCCTCCCGAGACACGCGAGACAGAGAGGCCCCCTACGGGCACCGAGAGGACGGAGCTTCAAGCCACCGGCGCAGAGGTGATCGCCGACGGGAGGACCGCCCCCGTGAACAACGCGAGCAGCACGGTCCCGCCGGCCGATTCACAGAGTATACTGCCCTAGTCGCTTCCCGCGAGCGCATACTGGCCGAACGCGCCAAGACCGAATTCGTCCAGGGAGGTGTCCGCTTCCCCAGACCGACACCCCCAAGCCTAACGTGGACAAATCGAAGTACTGTCGTTTCCACAGGAGCCACGAGCACGTTACAGAAGACTGCATCCACCTCAAGGACGCGATCGAAATCCTGATTAAAGACGGCAACCTGAAGAGGTACACCCGGGGAGGAGAAACCCCGAGGCAAGACGCTCCCGAGGCCAAGAGAGTCGAAGAGCTTCCCTCTTCAGACGGTGACAACGGCCTCCAGGTCGCCCTATGCGTCAGCCGCCCAGAACACTTTCCATACCTCATTTGGAGAAATATCATTTTTTTCTTTA